AGCAAAAGGTTGACGTGCGTCTGGATCCTCCAGCTGGTGTAACCTTGACTTTGCAGCTCTGGCGTGTGTGAAAGGTTACTGTGTCAGTTCGATGGTGAAAACTGACCCTTTTGATTCGTTACACCATTAAAAAGCTGTGCAGCTGGTTTCTCCAGGACAGTTTTTCTAAAACTGAACTAAAACTCCTTGTTTTTGTTCCTCATTTCAAACCTACTAACAACAGGATGTGTTTGTAAAGGTTCAGTGATGCATTGTCCAGACTTCTAACAACTACCACTGATAATAATCATTTACAACAGTAAAGTCCAGAACTCTCTAAAAGGATCAGAAAGATTATAATCGATCCTGAATGACCCTCATTGAGGTGAGGACATGATCCACCCATAGCCTACGTATGAGAACGTGTGGTCCGTCCTCCAGAGGCAGCACCACAAACACATCTAAGTCGATCCAGGTTGATGTTAATGTAAAAAGCTGGGGGCCTTTATCCTAGTTTACATGCGCATCAGAAAACCACTGTCTCAACTAAAGTTCATTCCCCTCCGGTACAGTAGGTGGCGGCACGCCCCTTTTCATGTGGGCGTACAGCCAACAGGCTGGCGGGCATCCAGCAGACGGTCCTCCCTTCTCCCTTACATGCCTGTTCGGTCATAATTTTATGGAAATCCTAAACAAGGGGAGAAGCTCTGCTGCTTGTGGAGAGTCTCTCCTACGTCCATCCAGCAGATGTTCCCAGTCTGACCCGCGTGACCTCACCGAGCATCTCTGTTCTGTACTTGCAGCATCACTCCTCAAAGGCCTGAAGCACGCCAACATCGTGCTCCTCCACGACATCATCCACACCAAGGAAACGCTGACTCTGGTCTTCGAGTACGTGGTGAGTCTACCTGACCCCGTCATTCCACAGGAGCAGAGCTCTCCACTCGTCCTTGTTTCTCCTCATCAGGTGTAGAAGCAGCAGCTGTGGGCTTTAAGGTTGGCGGGTGATGGGTGTGGTCTGTGTGAGGGTGACAGTCGGGCTGCGTATGAAGGTGTGTCCTCGTGAGAGATGAACGCCGGATAAGCAGAACCCCGTGCGGTCTCCTTCTGCGCGTCGTCGTCAGCTCGTTGTAGTTTTTATTGGGTGTGACACTTTTCCTGGGTAATAAGTCTTCTAGTGTAGAAACGTCTGCTGAGGAGGGGCGGAGCTTCTCAGACAAATGCTGAACAGCACCAGGAGCAGGATGATGGGAATACTGGCCTACTCCCAGTCAGCTGAATGCTTTTCCAGTTGCGGAAGCAATGGGGAGATTTTAGAGGACAGGGAAGGAGAAACATTTAAAGCGTTGCTTCATGTCCCGTCAGCGGTGTTCTGGGGCATCTCCAGGCGGTTCCAGTGCCTTTCCTGGTCCTCCCGCCTCCAGCCGGTCTACATCGCTGACGCTTTCACTTTCATGTAGTTGAGCCAAAGCAAAACACACGTTTGCACGTCCATCCAGCTTTAATTCTTTATGATGGTTTGGTTTTTCTTCAAAATAAAATGTCCATCAAGCCATTGTTTCTGTGTGGTCCGGTCCGATCTCCAGACCGGTACCGGTGCTGGTGCACAACTCCTGTAACTGTAACTCGGTGTGCAGGATTAGTGTTTGGAGAAGGTGCAACTCCTTCTGGTCCAGCTCGGCTGTTAAAGCGACTCGGTTACAGACTCGTGTTATTTCTCCTGAACCAGTGAATCCGGTCCCGGTTTCCTCTGGGAGTCCGGACGGAGATAATTCACATAAAGTCATGGCATTGCTGCCTTGCTCAAGAGCTGGAATGACATGATCTTTACGATCCTGACGGAACCTGGGAAGATTCTCTCTGTTCACTCAGCCCGCATCCCTGAACCGCCCTACTCAGCCCTTTAGCCAATAGCCTGGAGGCAGCCTCCGGCGGGTACAATCACTCATCAGAAGGTTTAAAGTGTGAGCAGAGCCCGGGTGAAGACTGGAGAAGGGATCATCGGAGGTGGAGAGAGGGACATTTACACATTTATGTTGTGTTTTTGCGTGTAGCCGTCACACGTCTATTAGAGCCTGTAGTACTGTCTGCTGTAGGGTTCTGATGTGGTACTGCTCGTGTTCTCCTTGCAGCACACGGACCTGTGTCAGTACATGGACAAACATCCTGGAGGCCTTCATCCAGACAATGTGAAGGTAAAACACGCATCCCATCCCGTCTGTGACATCACCGCCTAACAAGCGCCGGTTCAGAAGTGACTGGTTAACAAAAACGAGGTTTATGAGTCATTTTTCCCCGTCAGCGACCAAAACGCTGTCACCTGTAACAAGCTGTAATGATCTGAGTTCACACACCCAAAAGCATCTCTGCTGGGATCTTTAAGGTTTTCCTGCTTGAGCAGAAACCGAAAAAACCAAAAGGACCAGGATGAGCTGTGTTTTCCCTCCGGAGCACAGCGAAGGTCGTCTCAGCTTCTAGCCTGGTAAATCTGCCCAGAGCAGCCAGCTTACAGGAAGTCTGAGCACCAACAGCAGAACAAGTCAGGTCAAAGGTCACAACGGCTGAATTTTACAGGACTCACACAGAAAAATAAGAATCAGAGTAAAAGTGTTCATAGACCAGTAAAACGGGATGACTGAGAAAAGACAGCATTTTAAACCGCACTTAGACACTGATGGCTGAGGGTGCAAGTGGGGCAGTGCGGGCATCAGCTGGCATAGGCCAGCTGATGCCCGCACTGCCCGCTCACCACAGCCATGGAATACACCTCATCAACACTCACTAACACTATATTGGAGCAGGTGGAGGGAGACTAGGGGTCTTAGCACACCTCTGTTGTTGCTTTGCTTCCTGGGGCTGGAGGCTAGGAGGGAGATCTGGCCGTCCGGTTGGGGTCTGGGGTGGTGGGTTGCTGTGCTCAGCGTTGGGCGGGGGAGCCTGCTCATCAGCACCCCAGCAGAAAGGGTCTAACTCTGGTTACCGGTGATGGTTGTACACCATGTGCAGCAGTACCGGGACCAGAGTGAATAGGGTGTGTATGGGGAGCATGAGTGGGTGTCCGGCGTGCATTTTTGTAAGTCTTTGGTTGTGTGTGCATGTGTGAGCATGAGGGAGGGAGTGTGTGACTGTGTTTGTGTATGACTGTATATGTCAGGTGGGGCCTTTGACTCCTCCCCTCTCCTGGAACTTCTCTTGATGATATAGATCTTCGTCCCTCCTCCCCCTGCCACACCTGGTGTGGGGGCTTGTGCCATTGTCTGCCTGAGTGTTCGTGGCAACCGGGTCTGGGGGTTTAAAGATTTTTGGCGTCTGCCTGATAGATCCCGGTGGCTGCCTGGTGGGGTCTGGGTCCCTGGGCTTTGCTGGGTCCCCGGCGGGGGTGGTCGCCCCTGGGTCCCGGGTCGCTGGGTCCCGGGCTCGGCCGGCTAGGGGGCGGGAGGCTGCGGGCGGGCCTGTGGGCTTGCCGCTGATATCTCCCGGGACTCTGCCGGCTGCTGGTTGTGGCCCCCCGGGGTGATCCTCTGTGCCTCTCGAGGGGGGCGGGGGCCTTTCTGGTTGCAGTCTCCTTGGGGTTCCTGTGTTCTGGGGCAGCGCCTGGATCTCTGGGACTTGGAGCTCCCCCCGTCTCCTGCACATCTTTGGGGGGCAGATCTGTGGTCCCTCACACTCTCTGTTGGACGCTCCTATAGAGAAACCTTACATAAACAAGCGCGTGTACACACACATGGTGCTCACATAAGTATGGGCTTGGGCACGTTAAACATGTCTTAAGACTATGGTGGGCACTAAATGCACTGTGATTTATTATCGTGATTGTTCAGTTAAACAATGTTGATTTTATATTTCCTCATCAGGTTGACGCAGTGATAGCTTGCTCCTGATGGAGTGCTGTCTGTCCCTTTTCTGCAGGTCTAGAAGCAGACTCTTGGTTATCATTGATTGTTTATTTTTCTGACCCAGTTCTACCAGCTGACTGAGCCCTGCGGGGTGTAGAAGCAGGCTTTGGCTCCATGTCACTGACTGATTTATAAACTAGCAATAGCACCTCAGCGTGAACAGATCCAGACTTTCCAGAGGAGAAGCAGGTTGTAGGAGTGCTGACATGCGTGTGCTTCCAGGTCCTGGTGGAGGTTTTCACATGGTTCCATGTCCGTGCAGGTGAACTCACCTGAACCATTTTTTAATGAAAACAAAGCGGCATTTATGTCTGTGGATATTTCTCTTCAGCTCTTTCCTTCGTCTGGTCTTGTTGAAGTGGTTATGTGGAGAGAAGAGTAGACGTTCTCACCTTCCATGGGGGGCGGGGTGTACTTGTGGACAGGAGCTCTGTTATCGGCTCGTTTTAGGATCAAGTGCAGTCCCTCAGACGTCCTGCTGTTTACTAATCGACAACATAAAAGCTCTCAGTGTCTCCGCTGGCACTGGATCGCATTAACATTCAGAGACGTGCACTCGGACCATCACTGCTAATGCAATCAGTGGTCATGAACCTGAGCTGGGTGCTGCTGCAGCTCCCGATGGAGGAAACTCTGGTGTCCACCTCCTCTCCGCTCACGTCAGCAGCTCCACCGTAACCCGACACAAGCACGACAACGGCTGCATGGCTCTGGCTCAGCGATGTCTCCGTTCATCAGAGGGATGAGGACACCCACCAACCGGGCCTGGGCCAGAACCTGGGTCTGATTCAGATGCACCCAGAGTGACAACCCCTTTCTACTTTCTTTCTTTTCTCCAGTTCTGTCAGTTTAGTCCGTTTTCGAATGGCATGGCTTTGAAAAATGGTGCAAAAGGAACATCTAATTGTGTTTGATAGGATCCACGCAGGGTCAGGCTTAGGCTGCAGCGATACTCCAGCAACGCACTGAAGCTACTGCAGCTTTCATCAGCTGATGGTTTAAATAACCAGATAAGCTTTTCCCTGTAGATGTGGTCCAGATGTACCAGAACCGGGTTACGTCCCTCTCTGCTGCAGGTCCAGCTGAGCGGGACGATCTGCTTGGACCAAAATGTCCTGGAACGTGGAGAGAAGCTGGCATGGTCATTATTTCACTAACAACACATTCATCCATCACAAGAGCTGTGACTTCTCCCTCCTTTATAAAATAAAGATATGGGGGACGTTTGACGTGATGGTGCTGTGAGCGTTCCAGCCAGCCCAGCCAGGCAAAACCGGTTTAAACGGCTCCATCAAAACCATCAAGTGACCCCGAAGAGGCCGGAGTGCTTCAGTAGACCGATAACGCTGCTCAGCTGCTCGTTGGAACATGAGCCAACAACAACTGTGGGCAGATCTGGATCTTTACGGCCTGTTGCTGCAGCTGGCAGCAGGTCGGTGCTGATGCAGCCGTTAGAGACCGTCCTGGTGCTGGTCCTGCTGGCAGATGGCAGCATCTATTCCCTCCATTTAACTCTCCTTCCGCTGACCTGTAGCCGAGTCCTCCGCCGCTAGGCGGGGCTTCATCAGTCTGGATGTTCGCTCGAGGCTCCGTCGGCTGAGCTAGTGGACTCTGTCAGGATCTGACTCAACAGATTCCATCGTTGCTCCTCGTGCGCTAGTGCTGTTTGGTTTCCATCGCCTGTCACGTTGTAGCCACATCCTCATTACTGAGGCTTAGCTGCTTTATTTTGCACGTCTTATTTGTCGCCAGCGGTGGAACTGTGGTATGTGACTGAAATCAACACTCTTCATGTTGTGTTGGGGTTTGAGGATCAGCCGCGCGTGGAAGTGTCCTGGGCACACCGTGACCCACTGACTGCCGTTCTACTCTGACGGCTAGAAACAGGAGGCTGCTCCATCCGCTCCTCCATTTTCTTCTGCTGATGCAAGGTCGGGTGGGGGTGGGTGGAGAGGAAAATCATCCTGCAGTGAGTTCGCTCCAGGGTCTCATCCCAGTAGGATGGGCTCAGAAATCCTCCAGAGAGAGGCAAGCAGGAGGCGTTCTGATCACGTGTGGACTAGAGATCCACTGATATGGCTTTTTCTGCTGTGGATGCCGATATGTGGAAGACATGGTCAGCAGATGAAAAACGTCCTGCTGACTGGTTTGGACCGATGTCACATTTACCACCTTGTTTACGCGCTAAAACTTTGCTAATGTCACTGGTAAACGATGATTTATAAAGCAGCTTCTGGGGTTCTACAACCCCCCAAGGCGCTTCACAACACAACCAGCCATTCACCAGCACACACACATTCACACACTGGTGGTGATGAGCTACATCATAGCCACAGCTTATTATTCACAGTGCATTTAGTGCCAACCACAGCCACCACACAGGTCATGTGATGAGAAGGCCCAAGTCCATACTTATGAGAGCACCATGTGAGCACCTGTGTGTGTACACGCGCTTGTTTATGTAAGGTTTCTCTATAGGAGCGTCCAGTAGAGAGTGTGAGGGGCCACAGATCCGCCCCCTAAAGATGTGTAGAAGATGGAGGGAGCTCCAAGTCCCAGAGATCCATGGGTCTCCCCGAAGCAATGAGGCCCCAGGGAGAATGCCGCCAGAGAAGCCCCAAATACATTTGGCAGGGTCCAAGCCCAATATGTGAGTTAGTTAAAACAAGGCTGGGGTCATAGGTGCCTGGACCTGTTGCATATCAGGATGGGGGGAGGGCTTGTCTGTTCAAGTGGAGCCCGTCTGCTCCAAACTGAGGACTCCTGCCCCAGAAGATGTTGAAATGGTCTATAAAGCCACAAATGTACATCACGGTGGTGAAGTCCAAAACGCTGCGGGGGCTCGCAGGCATGAGCATGTCACCCCGGTGTTGACCCTCTGCACTGGATTCCAGTTGCTTTTAGAGTTTGATTCAACATGTTGGTGTTGGCGTACAAATCGTTGAATGGACTGGCTCCTTCTCTCTATTGGACATGCTGGTGCCGGATGAGCCGGCTCGGCAGTTGAGGTCGGCTGACCAGCAGCAGTTGGTGGTGATGGGTCCGTCAACCGTTGACCCGATGACTTCTCATGCCAGACAGGGCCCGGTCCCTGATTGGACTCTATGGTGCTTCAATCCCACAAGTTGGTATCAGTGAGGAGAGAGAGAGATGAAAGCTGAAACTCCTGCTTACACCCTGCTGCCAGCAGGACCCGTATCCTTCCATCCATCCTGGAAGATGAATCTCAGGAAGCTAGCCTGTGGGTTTATCTGTTCACTGATGTTTCTGCAGAAGCTTTACATCTCCACACAGCTCTGCTTCCAGCTGTCTGACTGGTAACATAAACATTCATCAGCAGGAAACCACAGTGAAGCTGGGCAGTGACTTCCTGTAGCTCTGATTTTAGTTTCATTCCTGATGATGAACAGGAGTTTTTACATCTCAGCACACAAACGCTCAGTTTAACATGAACAGTCAAAAACGTCCGCACCTTGCTCACCTGTGGTTGTTGTCTTCCAGCTGTTCCTGTTCCAGCTGCTGAGAGGTCTGTCCTACATCCATCAGCGGTACATCCTTCACCGAGACCTGAAACCACAAAACCTGCTCATCAGTGACACGGGGGAGCTCAAGCTGGCTGATTTTGGTGAGTTGGCTGCAAATGGAGATTTGTGTGGTCGTTATGGTGACCAGCTTCTTTATCCCGTAGCAACACTTATATGAGAATGGCACACTCGAGTATTTATATTTATTTACATCAGGAGAGGCCTCGGGTAAAGTTTTACATTAACACTGACTAACAGGGACAGGACCACTGGCCACTCGCCTCCAGTAGATAAAGGTAGCATACGGGTGAAACAGGAAAAACTACAAGTCCATCTGGCGGGAAGTTGGAATCAGGCCAGTGTTTTACCTCAAACACAATTCTGGAGCAGCTGAGGGGCTCCAGGTTGGTCTAAGGCCAGATAACTCTGTCTGTCGTCAGCATACAGATGGTAATTTATGCCACGCTTAGCCAAGATTGTGCCCAGGGGGAGAATATAGATGGCGAAGAGTAGAGGACCCGATACCGAGACTTGAGGCACTCCCCATGGGAGTGGCACAGAGGGAGAGGAGCAGTCGCTGATGCAACTATCAGCAAGGTAGGATCTGAACCAGTTGAGGTTCTCCTTTAACTCCCACCAATGATTCCTGTCTACTTGTGATCGACTGTATCAGTGCTGCAGAATGGTCCAGCAGCAGGACATGGGAGCCATTATCACATGCAGCCAGGATGTCATAAAGCTTAGCTAGTGATGGAAATACAAAAAAGTAACGAGTAATCTAATTACTTACCATCTTGTTTTATCAGAACGCCGTTTCCGTTACTGATAAGGAAATGCGTACGTTACTAATTCAGCAGCGCCGTGTCATCAGCTGATCAGGAGCTGAAGAGGCGGATGTTTTCATCCAAGAGCATCACGGCCGTGAAGAACGAGGAAGACGGGATGAATATCTACGGCTGCAGGTGTGAATCTGCAGCCGTGCCCTTCTTAGCGTGACAGCGGGACGTCCTGAAGGTCCGCTCACCTGTTCACCGCTCAGACGTCCTGATCTTCTACCTTCCTAGATCATCCAGCTGTAACCTGTTCCTGATCATGTCTTTAGTCCCGCTGTAGCACTGATGCATCAGTCTCAGACGTCATGGAGCTCAGGTGTTATTAGAACTACCTGTGTGTGTTCACCACCCAGCTTCTGTGGTTACGTCTGACCCACGTTAGTACATTTAAGTCCTCCATCAGGCTTGTGCCTCTTCTAGTGTCATTTTAAAGGATTTTATTTATTTATTTGTTTATTTATTTGTTTATTTAACCGTTACTAGATTAGCAGCAACAGAAATGCTGCTAAAAACACACAATAATGTCAGCTGGAAACATTGCAACACTGTGCAAAACTAAATTTATTTCAGTCATTTAACTAGACTGAGAGACCATCTAAAGGCTCAGGAACCTTTACAAGTGTTTCTATGTGCTTGTTGGGCTATTGTTAAATATCACACGGAGACATTTTAATAGTCTAGATTAGTGTAATGTAACTGATTGCAGTTCCTCCTGTTGGAGGTCCGTTTATTTCTATTATTCAGTTTCATAAAAATATTTTATTATGTTCTAGTAATTTATACTTCAGTACTGTAGTAATTTATACTTCAGTATTGTGGTAATTTATACTTCAGTATTGTAGTAATTTATACTTCAGTATTGTAGTTATTTATACTTCAGTACTGTAGTAATTTATACTTCAGTATTGTGGTAATTTATACTTCAGTATTGTAGTCATTTATACTCAGTATTGTAGTCATTTATACTTCAGTACTGTAGTCATTTATACTTCAGTACTGTAGTCATTTATACTTTAGTACTGTAGTCATTTATACTTCAGTACTGTAGTCATTTATACTTCAGTACTGTAGTCATTTATACTTCAGTATTGTAGTCATTTATACTTCAGTACTGTAGTCATTTATACTTCAGTACTGTAGTCATTTATACTTCAGTACTGTAGTCATTTATACTTCAGTACTGTAGTCATTTATACTTCAGTACTGTAGTCATTTATACTCAGTATTGTAGTCATTTATACTTCAGTACTGTAGTCATTTATACTTCAGTACTGTAGTCATTTATACTTCAGTACTGTAGTCATTTATACTTTAGTACTGTAGTAACAAAGTAAGTTAAGGAAGTGTAAAAGGGGAATACATTTTTCTTGCAGTTTTTTAATGAAAAAAGTAACAAAATTATTATTTTTTTTCTTAGTTACTTTTACAATCTTGTAGCATGGTAAGTAACTGAGTAACCTTTTGGAGAAAGTAATCATTAACTATAACTGATTACGTTTTAAAAGCATGCAGCACATACGAACATGGGCGACTGCGCTGTTCGGGCCTGAGGCCCGACTGAAACACGAACAGGAAGCAGCAGAAAGTTGAGCTTGAACTCTTTACTCTAAAACTTTGGACAGAAAAGTAAAATCCGTATTTCCAGCAGATCTAACCGCTTTCTGATGTCGCGATAGGGAATCCTTGAACCGTTGTTGTGGGATATGTAGCCGTCCTTTTTCCTCCTATGCTCCAGGATTCACGGACGTCACATCCTGGTGTTTCTGGGAGGAGGCTCCAGGCCTTCTCCCAGAAACACTAAAGCGAAACTTTATAGGCAGTAATGGACTCGTCCTGGCTCCCCGCTGCGTTTAGACAGAAGGTAGAGGTCATGTGAGGGCACCATGGCTTTGCTAACCTACAGAGTCTTGTTAGCGTGTCCATGTGGTCTCCTCACCTCCACGAACTTAAATGTTCTTATTTAGACGTTCTGTGGCAGACCAGCTAAAGCGTGGCGTGTTTCTGTATTCATGCTGAAATATTTAGAGATTACAAACGTGTTTTTTCCAACACACCCTTTCACCAGTTCACTCATGTCCTCCCTGTCTTCTACTCATCCCTCTCTTCTCATGTCCCTCCTTTCCACCATGTCCTCCACCCCTCTGCCCCTCCACCCCTCTGCCCAGGCAGATGGGAGGATGAGGAGGTGGGAGGCAGCTTCATTAATAATGCAAACCTTGTATTAGTGTGGTGGAAACATTACTGGGAGAGAAATGAGCAGGAGGAAATACCAAATGAGCAAAAACGAGCCCCCCGGCCAGCTCTGGCTGCAGCTCAACCTTTGCCAGAGGGGTGCCAGATGAGGTTCACGTCGCTGGAGCGGCTGTGTGTGGATGGGTCCTGGCCTTGGCAGCAGGAATACTAACCTCCAGCAGCTGAGGCCTGTGGCTCTAGTAAACCAGTGAGACGGGGGCAGGGTGCCAGCCTTGGTGGATGGGAGCCAGTCAGCAGACAGGACTCTGGGGCTAGGGGTGGAAAACACATAAAGCTTTGGTTGGTGCACATCAGTGCCAGCATGGAAGGAATCACGCTAACTCCAGCCCTCGTCGGTGCTAACTCGGGATGTTGGTTTAAAGCAGAAAGCTGCTTATTTACATTTGGAAACCGTTCTTTCAGCATCTCTTAAGCAGATGAAACGCCAAAGGAGCCTGATGGAGCCCTAATAAACCCCCCCATAAGGAAATCTGCAACCTTGAACCCTCAAATAGAACCTCCTCCAGTTTTGGTGAGGTGCTATAATGTGTACAGCCAGTAGCTCTGGTCTTCTCCAGCAGTAAACCTCGGTCGCGTTAGAAGCCTTCGTCCATGATTATTATCCTTCTGTGTCATCCCTCAGACCTAGAGGACAGGAAGCCTCGTTCTCCCAGCCCCCAGAGCTCCTCCTCCTGCTGCTGGACTTAATCCAGATGCTTCCTCCTGCCTCTCTGGATTTACTCACATCTCATACCGTCAATGGAGCTTTGTGAAAACACGTTTTCACGGCTAATTGAGACCAGCTAAGCAGTTAGCATGTTTGTCTGGTGGTTGTGAGTGACACCCCACCCCCACCCCCACCCCCACACACACACACACACCAGCCTTTCTTTGTTATCTAATGGACTAAAACGTCCATCTGCAGCTGCGAGCACGCCGGGTTCTGCTGTGCTGGAACGAGGTTCTGGGAGGAACGTCACACTGGGAGATCCAAACAGTTTTCCGGATGCCAGAGACATTCCTTCAGCTGCATCACCACATTGTTTCACTCCTCACACATCATTATGTCAGCAGCTGCTCCTGCACCACACACACACACACACACACCCATGGACGTAATTTTGTGGGCGGGGGGACATGTCCCCCCCACTTTTTCCAAAGTCAAGTTTTGACCCCTGCACTTTTTACCATCCAAAAACAACATTACGCTATATTAAATTGACACTGGTTGATTTCTAGGACCAAGCGGAAAATAACCGTTTGTTTTGAAGCCTGTTTCCCATTAGAGCATACTGTAAAGATCCCCCCCCCCCCCCCCCCCCCCCCGTGTCCCCCCCACTTCTAAAGTGAAAATTACGTCCACACCCTCTGACCAAGTTAGATAGCACATGACAGAACGAGGCTTATTATAACTGTATGCACACTCATGTACACACACACACACACACACACACACACACACACACACACACACACACACACACACACACACAAAGGTAGTGGGTTCTGCTAGTATATGGTTTATGTATTTAGCAGACGCTTTTGTCCAAAGCGACTTACAAGTGATAATCGGCATGTTGCCCTTGAGGCTAACAACAACAATAACAACAACTTGGCATCAGTCATGGAGAGGAGGGAACAAGGAGTGGACAGTAGAGAGGGGGGGCGGGTGCAGGGAGGGTGCTAGTTAAGAAGATGCTCTCTGAAGAGCAGGGTCTTCAGGAGTTTTTTCAAAATAGAAAAGGGAGCCGTAGTTCTGGTAGTGTTAGGAAGGTCATTCCACATTTGTGGAACGATGCATGAGAAGAGTCTGGATGGTCCTGAGCGTGGTGTAGGCACTGCTAGCCGACCATCCTGTGATGACCGGAGCGGCCGGGCCGAGACGTAAGCCTTTGCAAGAGGATTCAGGTAGATGGGAGCCGTACCGTCCCGGACTTTGTATGCTAGTGTTAGCAATTTGAATTTGATGCGTGCTGCTAGCGGTAGCCAGTGGAGCTCAATGAACAGAGGGGTGACGTGTGCTCTTTTAGGCTGAT